CCCAAAAGTGGCATTGCTGGGTCAAATGGGAGCTCAATTTCTAATTTTTTGAGAATCGTCTATACTGTTTTCCAAGAGGGCTGAACCAGTCGGCATTCCCACCAGCAGTGAGGGAGAGTCCCATTCTCACCACATCCACACTAACACCGGTTGCTTTTGTTCTTTTGGATGTGGGCCAGTCTCTGTGGTGTGAGATGATATCTCATTGTTGTTTTGATCTGCATCTCCCTGATGATTAGTGATGTAGAGCATTTTCTCATGTGCCTTTTTGCCATTTGGATTTCTTCTTTGAGAAAGCTTCTGTTCATTTCATCACCCCATTTTTTTGATGGAGTTGGATGTTTTTTTCTTTTGGAGTTCAACCAGTACTTTGTATATCCTTCATATAAACCCCTTGTCGGATGTGTATTGGGTGAATATACTTTTCCATTTCACTTGTTTGGCCACTGGTGTGACATCTTTGAAGATACCATTAGCTTCAGTGTCGTGGAGGGTTTTGCCAGCCTTGTCTTCAATGTACCTTATGGATGCCGGTCTGATGTTGAGGTCTTTAATCCATTTTGATGTTACTTTTGTATATGGTGTTAGGCAGAGATCTGAACCCATATTTTTGCATGGAGCTGTCCAGTTTTGCCAGCACAATTTGTTAATGAGGCTTTCCTTGCTCCACTTCAAATTTCTTTCTTTTTGATGAGTTGTTGAATTCTGTTTGCTAGTATTTTGTTGAGAATCTTCGCATCCGTGTTCATCAGAGATATCCACCTGTAGTTTATTTTTTTCTTCTGGTGTTTGTTTCCTTTTGGTATTAGAGAGATATGGGCGTCATAAAAACTATTCGGGAGAGTTTCTGTTTCTTCAATTTCCTGAAAAAGGTTGAAAAGAACTGGCAATAGGTCCTCTTTAAATGTTTTAAAAAATTCACTAGTGAATCCATCTGGACCTGAGCTTTTTTTGGGGGGGGAAGACTTAATTAGTTTCAATTTACTTGATGTTAATAGGTCTATTCACGTACACTAGATTTTCTTGATTCAACCTTGGGAGATTATAGGAAACCAGAAATTTATCTATTTCTTCTAGGTTCTCTTGTTTCATGGCATACAGACTTTCAAAGTAGTCTCTGATGATCCTTTGAATTTCTTTGTTTTCTGTTGTGATATACCCTTCTCATTTCTGATTCGGTTTATTAGGGTTCTCTCTCTCTTTCTTTGTGAGTCTTGCTAGTAGTTTATATATCTTGTTTATTTTCTCAAAGAACCAGCTCTTGGTTTCATTGATCTTTTGGATTGTTTTTTTGGTTTCCATGTCGTTGATTTCTGCTCTAAGTTTTATGATTTCTTTCCTTCTGCCTGATTTGGATTGTTTTTTTTTATCCTTTTCTAAACTCTTAGCTGTGAGGTCAAGTTGTTTGTGTGGACCCTTCCTGAGAAATGCTTGCAGAACTATAAATTTTCCCCTTAACAAGGCTTTAGCTGCATCCTATAGGTTCTGGTAGCTCATGTCTTCATTCTCATGTGTGTCCCAGTATCTTTTGATTTCGTCCTTGACTTCCTTTCTTGACCCACTTGTTGTTCAACTTTGAGTTGTTTAATTTCCAGGTATTTGATTTGGTTCTCCGTGTCTGTGTGTGATTCACTTCTATTCTCAATGCATCATGGTCTGAAAAGATTGTTGATACTATTTGTATCTTCCTGATTCTATTGAGGTATGTTTTGTGGCCTAGCACCTGATCTATTTTGAAAAATGTTCTGTGTGCACTGGAGAAGAATGTGTATTCTTTCTTCTTGGGGTGTAAAGCCGTATAGGTCTATAAGCCCTCTCTCTTCTATTTTTCCTTCAAAGCCAATGTTTCCTTGTTTGTTTTTGTTGATCTATCCAGAGGTGATAAGGTGTTGCTGAAGTCTCTGGCTACTATTGTGTTGCTAGCAATGTCCTCCTTAACATCTGTTAGCAGTTGTTTTAAATATTTAGCTGTTCCCTCATTAGGTGCATATACATTTAAGAGTGTGATATCCTCCTGTTGTACATATCCTTTGATGAATAGAAAAAGGCCTTTGCTGTTCCTTCTAATCTTTTCCAACCTGAAATTTATGTTGTTGGATACTAGTATGGCCACCCTATCTTTTTTGAGGGAGCTGTTTGCTTGCAGGATTGTTTTCCATCCTTTCACTTTGAGTCTGTATTTGCTCTGACTGTTGAGATGAGTTTCTTGTAGGCAGCAGAATGTTGGGTTCTGTCTTTGTATCCATTTTGCCACTCTGTGTCTCTTAATTGGTGAATTTAGACCATTGACGTTGAGAGAGATTATTGTTATGGGATTTTGTGTCATTTTTCTGTAAGGTTTTGTTGTTCTTGTATGGTTTGTCTTGTCTTACAGTAGCCCCTTTAGCCCTTCTTTTAGGTTTGGTTTTGAATCTATGAAGTTCCTGAGCTGCTGTTTATGCACAAAATAGTGTACCATTCCTTCGAGTTTGAGTAAGAGTTTAGCCGGATAGAGTATCTTGGTGAAGCGTTCATTTCAGTGAGTTTTTTCACTATATCCCACCATTGCCTTCGAGCTTGGAGGGTTTCCTCTGATAGGTCTGCTGTGAATCTAAGGGGTGCTCCTTTGTATGTGATTTCCTTCTTTGACCTTGCTGCTTGCAGTATTGTGTCTCTATCAGCGGCATTGATCATTCTAACTCTGATATGTCTGGGAGTGTTTTTGGTAGAGTCTCTTTTAGCTGGTACCTTTTGGGCTCCTTGAATCTGTATGGCTGCATTGTCCAGCTCTGGGAATTTTTCAGCAATGATTTGTTTAACTGTGACTTTTCACTGGGATTGCTTCCCTGACCTTCTGGCACTCCAATGATTCTAATGCTGTTCCTCTTGAAATCATCTCCTAGGACTCTGATTCACTCTTAAGCTATTTTGAGGTCTCTTGCTATTGTTTGTTGTTACCTGTAGGCTTGATGCAGCTGATCTTCCAGCTCACTGAGTCTGTCTTCAGCTCTGGCCATTCTATTGTTGAGGACACAGACTGAGTTTTTTATTTCATCGACAGAATCTTTTATTCGTGACATTTCTGTGCATAGCTTTCCAATTTCTGCTCTCATTTCTTCCTGTATTTTCTAAATTGTTTCTTTCATGTCCTCCTTTAATGTACTGGATATCTGTCTCACTGTTTCATTGATTTCATTGAACATCTTCATTAGTTCATATCTGAATTCTTTCTCAGAGAGGTCCCTTAGGTGAGTAACACCTAGTGAGGCTTCTGTACTGTTTTTATCATCCTTCCCTCATGGTGGGAATTTGCGTTGTTTCTTCATGTTGGTGTGGAGGTTTGGAGACTAAGGTGTTCCTTGAGATTGCCGGGTATAAGTAGATTATCTGCGGCTGCGTGAGCGTTTGGCAGGTCAAAATTAGGCCACGACCACTTCTACAGAATCCACATCCACCTTTGAAGAGGCCACGCCCCCTATGGGCACCTGGTGTGTGAGGAGGGCTCAACCTGGGGGAGGAAGAAGACCAGCACAGCGTTGGGGATGAACAGGAAGAGGATCAGGAATGATGAGCATCCCAGGGTCCTAGAGGACGCCTGGGTGCGGATGTGGAGAAAGCCAAGTCCCGGGTTCGAATCAGTATTTAATTAGTACCTCCTCTTCCTCTTTAAGGTGCTTTTGTATGCTTTACAAAGAGTGACCTATTGAAGTTTTAGTTTGATTATAAAATGTTAGCGGGAGTCTATATGCACCTCCCCTTTGCCTCGCTTTGTACTGGGTCTTACAAATTTGTTTCCAGAAATTCAAGCTTCAATCTGAACTGTATACAAGCTGTTGACTCTGGTTTCTGCTCTATGCCAGACATGGAAAACGTGCTTCCATGGAGGCGGGGTTGGGGGAGGGGGCATTCTGGAAACTGAGAAAATCTTATGTATTTTTTTACTCTCTTCCAAGAATCACAATCCTGGATGAGTAAACACAGGTAAATTATATATTTTGAGTGGAATTGAAATTTCCTTTTCATTTGCTCGTATTTTTAAATGAATATTTAATGAATTAATAACTGTGAGCATGTTTCAATCTTTGTCCCCTCCCATAGATAATTTTTATTATCTGTTTATGATTAGATAATGCATGTAGAAATTAATGAAATGAAAATGTTTGGGGTTTGGGGCCTTCACGAGGATTAAGGCACTTGCTTGCATCTGTCAGTACTGTTTCAAATTAGTTCAAACCCCTGTATCATTGCATTTGTTCTCCCTAAGTGTTACTCCTTAGTTCAGAGGCAGAAATAGCCCCAGAGCACTGCTGTGTGCCAGTCAAAACCAAATAAATAATTGATAAAGTACGAAAAACAAAATCAAAACAAAAATAATGTGAAAATGTTTTATTTGTGTGACAGCACACGTGGTATAAAACGTGGTATCAAACAAATCGGACTGGTTTTATTTCATGCAGAGAATGAATAAGAAATTGTTAAGTTGGATATTCTTTTAGTATTGCTGATTGTTTAGTATTGCTGATTGCACATATATACTGCTTGCTTTATGCAAGTTTTTTACAACTATATGTTTCTTTGAGAATATATCCAAGAAGTTGATGACATTTTTAATTTTTATCGTATAATAACCAATTAAGGGCTGGAGCGATAGCACGGTGGGTAGGGCATTTGCCTTGCACGCAGCTGACATGGCCAACCAGAGTTCGATTCCTCTGCCCCTCTCGGAGAGCCCGGCCGTCTACTGAGAGTATCTCGCCTGCACAGCAAAGCCTGGCAAGCTTCCCGTGACATATTCGATAAACCAAAAACAGTAGCAATGATTCTCACAATGGAGACATTACTGGGCCCGCTCAAGCAAGTAACCAATTAGATTCATGTGTTTCTTCAAAAGTTTTATAAAACTTTTAAAAAAACTTTTTAAAAAACAGTCCTATAAACTGTTTTATAGGACTAAATCATAAAGTGAGCAAGGACTTTGCATCCACAGACTGTATCTTATACTTTCTATTTCTTTGATTCAGCTAGCAAGCCACTTTTTGCATTTCATTCTTCATCCAAGAAGGATCCAGATTTCCCTAAGAAGAAGAGCACTCCAGCAAGTCAGAAAACCACTAAGGGTAGATCCGGAAACGTGGTGATGGAATCTGTTCCTATCGTGGATGAGGAAACCATATTTATGCCCTTTACAGAAGAAACTACCAACACTTCACAGCAGGTACCTTCATGTGTTAAAAGCTATTCAATCAGTGAAACAAGATGAAAAAGTTAACAAGCAAATAATATCAATAATGAATACAAATATAATCACAAAGTTTTCTATCTTGAAAAAATCATAGACCAAAGAGACAGTCAGGATACACCTAACATACTATCAAGAGTGAATGGTTTTAACAAGGCCACGTGACCTGTTATTATCTAGTTCTTACTCTGGAGAACCTGGCAGGCTACCAAAAGTATCCTGCCCACACTGCAGAGTGTGGCAAACTCCCCGTGGCATATTCAATATGCCAAAAACCAGTAACGATGATGAGTCTCATTCTCCTGACCCTGAATAAACCTCAAATGTGGCACTTTCTACAATCTCAGGGCTAGGATGAAGAAGACGTTACTGGTGCCTACTTGAGGCAATCGATGAACAACAGGATAACAGTAATACATAAAGTTTTCTATCTTGAAAAAATCTATAGACTAAAGAGACAGTCAGGATACACCTAACATACTATCAAGAGTGAGTGGTTCTAACAAGGACCAGGAGGACTGGCCCATGATTAGAAGATCACCACAAAGGTGGTGAGGGAGTAATTTTAGAATTACTAAAGAGAAGTTACCTTTTAGAGAAGGGACCACTATGACAATGATAATTGGAAACAGTCACTCCAGACAGGAACTGAGTGATGAAAGAGGGTAAAGTGATATGCATGATACCTTTCAGTAACGGTATTGCGAACTATAGTGCCTAAAAGGAAAATAAGAGAGAGAGAGAGAGAGAGAGAGAGAGAGAGAGAGAGAGAGAATGAGAGAGAGAGAGAAAGAGAGAGAGAGAGAGAGAGAGAGAAAAGAAAAGTGTCTGCCACAGCAGCATCTGTGGGTGGGGCCAGAGGAGGCATGTGGGATGGAAACTGGGGACATTGGTGGTGGAGGAGATTGTGCACAGGGTTTTGGAATATTGTTGACCGAAACTCAATCATGAACAACCCTGTAATTGTATATTATGGCAATTCAATAAAATTTTTAAAATAATTAAAAATAATGCATAGGTCTAGAAAATAAAATAAAATACCTATTATGAATTTTTGGGGTGGCATGTCACCCAGAAATTTACAGGGCTTACTCTTACCTCTGTCCTCCAGAATGACCCTTGGCCAGGTTCGAAGGACCATATAGCATGCTGGAGTTCAAACCCAGATTGGTCATGTTCAAGGCACATACAGAATTTTTAAGAATATCTGCTTCCATATATTAATTTTGATAAGTAATCCAGAGAAATATTTATTATAGGCCGAACACAAGGTGTTAAGCATATATATGTTTATTATCAATGTGTGCTTAAACATTGCATTTTATTTCACAGGTTTATAAGTATATTGTACAATGTGTGATATTATATAATAGTTGGACTCTCAATGAAAGTCAACTGACATTCATTCAAGCAATAAAAGAAATAGAGAAAAGTGATGCTAAAGGTATGTCACTTGAATGCATTTTATATCTTATATGAATAGTTGACAGTAAAATGATAATGAAAAAAAGAATACTATTGCTTACAATTTATGTTGTATATCCTGTCATTTGATATCACTCTCTATGTCTCAAAACTTTTACTGTTTGATTTAAAATAAACAGCAATTACCTACTACATAATTTTTTAGCCTAGTTTAAAGACATGTGTCCAGTTAGTAAATATAATTTGATGATTTATAAGAAAGATACAGAAAACTTGTTTAGTTATAAAATTATACTTTTCCATGTTAGTGGGAAAGTCTCTTGAACTGAGTACCTAATATTTAAAGGAAGGATCATTTCCTAGAGGCAGAGGATTCATATTTTTTAAAAAATTTTCACAATAGAATTTTCTCTCAGTAATGCTAGTTTAACACTTTAGAAAAATAATTTCAAATAGCCTCTATTCCTAAGTTCAATATCATGTTATTAATATAATAACTGAGTCTGAAGGATTAGTATTTTAAACTAATGTTCTTTTAAATTTTTAAGCCAAATTACCTAAACTTAAAAATATGCAGAATTTTATTGAGTATAATTGGTTTATAATTTTGTAAAACTGTAGAATATCTCCTTACTTGGGCTGGAGTGATAGCACAGTGGTAGGGCGTTTGCCTTACAAGTGGCCAACATGGCCGACCCGAGTACGATTCCTCCGCCCCTTTTGGAGAGCCCGGCAAGCTACCGAGAGTATCTCGCCTGCACGGCAGAGCCTGGCAAGCTACCCGTGATGTATTTGATATGCCAAACACAGTAACAACAAGTCTCACGATGGAGACGTTACTGGGCCTACTCGAGCAAATCGATGAACAACGGGAGGACCGTGACCGTGATCTTCTTACTTGGAAACAAATGAGAATGAAGACACAAGCTACCAGAACCTATGGGATGCAGCGAAAGCCGTATTATGGGGAAAATTTATAGCTCTGCAAGCATATCTCAGGAAGAAAAGATGCACATAAACAACTTGACTTCACAGGTCAAGATCTTAGAAAAGGATCAACAGAAGGATCCAAAATCAGGCAGAAGGAAAGAGATCATAAAACTTAGAACTGAAATCAATGAAATCAAAACCAAAAAAACAATCCAAAAGATTAATGAAACCAAGAGTTGGTTCTTTGAGAAAATTAATAAGATAGATAAATCACTAGCAACACTCACAAAGAAACAGAGAGAGAAAGAGAACCCTAATAAATCGAATTAGAAAAAAGAATGGGGGATATCACAACAGAAACCAAAGAAATCCAAAAGATCATCAGAGACTACTTTGAAAGTCTGTATGTCATGAAACAAGAGAACCTAGAAGAAATGGATAAATTTCTGGATTTCTATCATCTCCCAAGGCTGAATCAAGAAGATCTAGAATACCTGAATAGACCTATTAACATCAAGGAAATTGAAACTAATCAAAAGTCTTTTCAAAAACAAAAGCCCAGGTCCAGATGGATTCACTAGTGAATTTTTCCAAACATTTAAAGAGGACCTATTGCCAGTTCTTCTCAAACTTTTCCAGGAAACTGAAGAAGCAGAAACTCTCCCAAAAAGTTTCTATGAAGCCCATATCTCTCTAATACCAAAAGGAAACAAAGACATCACAAGAAAAGAAAACTACAGGCCGATATCCCTGATGAACACGGATCAAAAGATTCTCAATAAAATACTAGCAAACAGAATTCAACAACTCATCAAAAAGATCATACACCATGACCAAGTGGGATTCATCCCGGGGATGCAAGGATGGTTTAACATTCAGAAATCTATCAACATAATCTATCATATCAACAAAAGAAAAGATAAAAGCATATGATCATATCAATAGATGCAGAGAAAGCATTTGACAAGATTCAGCACCTGTTTATGATGAAAACCCTTGCCAAAATGGGAATAGAGGGGACTTTCCTCAATATAGTTAAAGCCATCTACCACAAGCTGACAGCAAGCATCATCCTCAATGGGGAAAAACTGAGAGCCTTCCCCCGAAGATCAGGGATGAGACAAGGATTCCCACTCTCTCCACTACTGTTCAATATAGGACTGGAGGTATTTGCAATAGCTATTAGGCAAGAAAAAGATATCAAGGGCACCCAGGTAGGAAAGAAAGAAACCAAGCTCTCACTATTTGCAGATGATATGATACTATACTTAGAGAACCCTAAAACTTCTACCAAGAAACTCCTAGAAACAATAGACTTGTATAGAAAGTTGCAGGCTATAAAATCAATACAAAAAAGTCTATGGCTTTCCTATATGCAAATAATGAAAGAGAAGAAAGCCACATGAAAAAAACAATCCCATTCACAATTGTGCCCCAGAAAATCAAGTATCTAGGAATCGCTTAACTAAGGAAGCAAAGGACCTGTACAAAGAAAACTACAAAACGCTACTTCAGGAAATAAAAGAGGACATGAGGAAATGGAAAAATATCCCCTGTTCACGGATGGGAAGAATTAACATTGTCAAAATGGCAATACTTCCCAAAGCACTGTATAAATTCAGCACAATCCCTATTAGGATAACCATGACATTCTTCAAAGAAATGGAGCAAACACTCCTGAAATTTATGTGGAACAATAAGCCCCCACGAATAGCTAAAGCAATTCTTGGGAAAAAGAAAATGAAAGGAATCAACTTCCGTAACTTCAAACTCTATTATAAAGCAGTAATAATTAAAACAGCATGGTACTGGAACAAAGGCAAAGCTGCAGACCAATGGAACAGGGTTGAATATACTGACATGTGCCCCCAAGCATATGATCATCTAACCTTCGATAAGGGGGCAATAAAAGTAAAGCAGAGCAAGGAAAGCCTCTTTAACAAATTGTGCTGGCAAAACTAGACAGCTACATGCAAAAAAGTGGGCTCAGACCTCTGCCTAATGCCATGTACAAAAATAAGACCAAAATGGATTAAAGACCTCAACAACAGACCGGAATCCATAAAGTTCATTGAAGATAAAGTAGGCAAAAACCTCCATGATATTGAAGCTAATGGTATCTTCAATGATGTCACACCACTGGCCAAGCAAGTCAAAACAGACATAGACAAATGGCACTATCTTAAACTAAGAAGCTTCTGCACCTCAAAAGAAACAGTGACCAAAATACAAAAACAGTATACAGAATGGGAAAGGATATTCGCCGAATACACATCTGACAAGGGGTTGATATCAAAGATATACAAGGTACTGGTTGAACTCCACAAGAAGAAAACATCCAACTCTATCAAAAAATGGAGTGATGACATGAACATAAACTTTCTCAAAGAAGAAATCCGAATGGCTAAAAGGCACATGAGAAAATGCTCTACATCATTAATCATCAGGAAGATGCAGATCAAAACAACAAGATATCATTTCACACCACAGAAACTTGCCCATATCCAAAAGAACAAAAGCAACTGGTGCTGCCGTGATGTGGCAAGAAAGGGACCCTCCTCACTACTGGTGGGAATGCCGACTGGTTAAGCCCTTTTGGAAAACAGTGTGGACGATTTCAAAAATTAGAAACTGAGATCCCACTTGACCCAGCAATACCACTCCTGGGAATATATCCCAAAGAGTCAAAAAAGTATAGTCGAAGTGGTATCTGCACTTGTTTGTTCATTGCAGCACTCTTTACAATAGCCAGAATCTGGAAAAAACCTGAGTTCCCGAGAACATTTGACTGGTTAAAGAAACTTTGGTACATTTACACAATGGAGTACTATGTAGCTGTTAGAAAAGATGAAGTCATGAAATTTACATACAAGTGGTACTACATGGAAAGTATCGTGTTAAGTGAAATGAGTCAGAAAGAGAGGAATAGACATAGAAAAATTGCATTCTTCCGGAGAACGTAAAGTAACAAAATAGGAGACTAACACCCAAGAGTGGCCAATATTACAGTTTTTTGGAGTTTTTTTATTACAGTTTTTTATTACAGGAATTTTGCTCCATGGCTTGGAGGCCAGCCACACATGCTAGGGGAAAAGGGAGTTCAGATAGAGAAGGGAGCACCAAATAAAGGGTGTGGGGAGGATCCTTCCAAGATGGGAGAAGCATGCTGAAAGTAGACTTTAGACCAAACATAATTGTCACTCAATGCCTCTTTTGCAAACCACAACACCCAAAAGGAGAGAGAACAAAAGGGAATGCCCTGCCACAGAGGCAGGGTTGGATAGGGGGGATGGGGGTGGGAGGGATACTGGGATCCGTGGTGGTGGAAAATGGGCACTGGTGAAGGAATGGGTACTTGATTATTGTGTAACTGAAACCTAAGCACAAAAATTTGTAAGTTTACAACTGTACCTCATGGTGTTTCACTAATAAAAATTTTTAAAAAACTGTAGAATATCTTCTCTTTCTCCCCCCTTTCTTTTCCTTCCCTCTGTCAACTGTTAAGAAACCTTGGATCTTGTATTCATGACAAGGAGTTTCAAGATTCCTTACCACTTCATTTCCTTTATGAATTCATATTCTATATGTGAACAAAACAATCTAGTGTTTGTCCTTTGCTTACTAATATCCCTCTTAATAATTCCATTAGGAACCATCTATTTTGTTCCTAAAAAGTACAGTTTCATCTTTTTAATGGCAGAGTAGTATTCCATTTATGCTGTGCTTATTGTTTCCAGTTTTACCTGTAGGACCATGACTCAAAACAAATAGTGCTGAAAACCACTGGAACTCACATGCATGAGATTATGGCCTGACAAAGAGGCAGTTCTGCATAGGTTCATAAAGACACTGTGGATATGCTTCATGACTAGGCAGGAAAGAGAAATCCCATGAGAAAACCCCTACCCCATGCACTTACCATGAAGTATACCAGTTACGTACATGAAGCATTCATGTCTGGGGAATTAACTTCTACTTTTCTATACAACTAGAGTAGTTTCTGTACAACGAGAATAGAATAATTTTATTATTTTTTTAATATTAGTGTAAAATGTGAAGTTGTTTTCTTTATGTTCTGTTTTCAAGTTAAATGTGTCCAGTTTTGACTCATCCTATCTATCACATTCATATTTGAGCTTTCTTTAATCTAATTTTACCTTCCTCCACAGAGTTTTTTGTAATTACATGTTCTTGTGACAAGGTTTCCAAGCAATCATATGAATTCCTTGTTTGCCAGGCAAGCTCCCCGTGACGTATTCGGTATGCCAAACACAATAACAACAAAGTCTCCAATGGAGACATTACTGGGCCCGCTCGAGCAAATCGATGAACAACGGGAGGGCCTTTACCTTTTACCTTTACCTGCTTTAAACAAATATCAGGCAGCGATAACTCAAGAAATTCAGATAAGTGAAAAATTCAAGAATGTACCCGTGGAAATGACAGAATTAGCTTCTTAAAACACTGATGTACAGAGCTGGAGTGATGTACAGTGGGTGAAGGGCTTGTCTGCATGTGGCAGGCCGGAATTCAATCCCTAGCACCACATATGGTCCCCTGAGCTCTGCCAGAAGCAATTCCTGAACACAGAGTCAGGAGTAAACCTTGAGCATTGCTGAGTATGGACCCCTTTAAAAAAGAAAGAAAAGAAATGAAGAACAAAATTAATTAAAATAAACTTTTTCATAACTTGGAGAATTAGCAAAGACTTTGTTGAATTAAAAACAGTTGCATACCTTTAAGAGCAGTGAGATTTTTCATGGAATTTTAATTTGTCCTTGCACCATCTATCTGTTGTTTAGTCATGTCCTTGGAAATGCATAGCCACTATTTCTCATACAGTCATCAGAAAGCAGTCATCAGAAAAATTAAATGGAACAAAAGTCTTGAAAATCCTTATTCTCAAATGCTTATCAATGTTTGGGTTGTCTGATGACTTCCTGAAAGACTCAGCCTTCAACATTAATTCAAAACTAGCTCATCATGGGAAAACTCTCCAGGTTATGACATAGTTAAACTGAGATTATGAATTTTGAAGAAAAAAATTAATGGAGGAATGAAGCAAAAAGATCAAATTCTCTGAGACTTTTAAGAAGCCCTCCTGCCTGCAAATATATACATAATGGGGAAATAAGGAAATTATAGAACGTCATAATGGCTGATAATATACCAAATTTCACCAAAATATTAAAACTTTTGTTTTATAAAACATCATGATTTACAAAATTATTAACCAAAACATTTTATTTGCATATTCAAACAGCTACATACACTCGTTAGGATAATCTCAGAGATCCATTTCAGAAATCATCAATTATCTAAAGCAAAGTCACAGAATCTCGAAAGAGAAATAAAGAGTGACTTGCCACATCCTTCCGGAACATTGTTACCTGTACCCCCCCTTCAAATACCCTCAGATGCCCTTGGTGGTCCCTGGAACCAGAGTGCTCATTAAGTAACACATTCATTGGGATCTCACACAGAATGTCTGGCCCATTTGGACAACTTTCACTGGGAGTGTCCTGTTCCCCCAAGTACCACTGTATGGGAAATTCAAAGCACATCAATAAACAAAATCAATTTAAATCAATAACTGAATACTCCATAGCACTGTAGCACTATCTTCCCATTGTTCATCAATTTGCTCAAGTGGGCACCAGTAACGTCTCCATTGTGAGACTTGTTATTACTGTCTTTAGCATATTGAATATGTCACGGGGAGCTTGCCAGGCTCTGCTGCTTGGGTGGGAAACTCTTGGTAGCTTGCTAGGCTCTCTGAGAGAGATGGAGGAATCGAACCTTGGAGGGCCGCATGCAAGGCAAATGCCCTACCCACTGTGCTGCTGAAATATTCTATACACCACCAAACTTTAGAAGACTAGAAATCAATAAACAACATACGTTAAACAGAAGGAAAACAAAAGTTTGCTATTGTACTGGAGATACTAGCCAAAGCAATTAGACAAGAATATGAATATAGACTGAAAGCATTCAATTAGGAAGTGAATTGGTCATGATGCTTGAAAGACCTACATGTACTACTGAATTAGGCATTTTACTAGTGTATGGCATGTAAATTATGCCTCATATTTATAAAAGTCATATAGATTTCTATAAAACATAAATTTATTGAAAATTGAATCTAAACCAATTTTTTATGACTTGTTTGACTTGTTCCTGTATGGCCTGAGCTTCTTTGTTCTATTATGACTTCTGGTTTTCATTTTTCATCTCTTAGGAAGCCACGTAGAGAAACATGAGGAGTCAGTTACCTCGGGAAGTCCAGATTCTCATACCATCAGTGAGGGTCAGAAGTCTTCAGGATCTTCCAAACCATCAAGGAAAGTCAAAGAAAAGTATTCGGAAAAAGATAAGGCAGTCAAAGAAAAACAAGCCCCTCGCCCTGAACCCCAGGTGGGTGTAATAATTTCTCTTATTGAAAACATTAATAAATTAAACTAAATGTATGGATTTAAGTTTATTTAGTCCTTACTTATCTGTTTCTCCTGAGTACCCAGATTATGAAATGTTTCATCTCCCTGATAGAATAATTATTTTGTCCTTTCTCTAAGTCCTTCCCCTTAGGGATGGTCAGGAATAAATAAACTTCAAGTATAGAAGACACTGTTCTTGGGGTTTAGCTCAACTTAAGCTAAGTTCTCAAAAAATGAAGAGCATAGGGGAAGTATTAGGCAGTTAATATAGACAAGTGTCAAAACACCCAATTCTGACAGAATAATGTTCACTTAGAGAATTATTTTCAGAAATGATTAAGTCACAATAAAAACACTACTGTTAGTAAATAAAGCTTTTGTATTTCATAAATAGTAGTTGCAAAGTTTGGAATCATTCTGCCTCCAGTGGAAAGGGTGTTGATCCATATACTGCCAGGTTCAGGGACTATTTCTCACTCATCCTGAGCGCCCCCTGGTGGCACTTCATAATTCATCTGCAGATCTCCATGACCCATACATCAGAGATGAAATTCTGTTTGGCCTTTATTCTACATTGTATTTTATCAAGTCATCTTAATTCATCTTAATGTGGATAAAAATATATCAGAAAAGCAAAACATTTATAGTACAAATCAGAAATGAAATATTAAACCATTGAATATGGTAAACAAATTCTATAGATCCTGATTTCCTAGCTGATCGCTACGTTCAGAATATTGTTTATATATCATGTGGAAAGAAAACAAATTTCACTGAACACCTGCGATTCTTCCAGGTCTCCTAAATAAAGAATTTCTAACTTTCTGGTTCCATGGAAGTCACATACTTTACATTGGTGGACTTATTCCCAAATTAAGATGCTAAAATAATCAGAAGAACAGAAAAATGTGATTAGAACTCAACATACAGCACAATCAAAGACAAAGAGGGGAAAATATTGTGCACCTTTGAAATAGAAAATATTGCAAGGATAACTATTGATGACAGGGCTTAGGCATTAGTTCAAGTAATGGGAAAATATAACCCAAAGCTCTGCATTAATAGATTTGAGAAACTGACTTTTCATTTCCCAGAATTCCCTGAGGGAAAAGGAGTAGCTGCCAAGGAAAGAATTATTCCATATTTATTATGGTTGGAACAAATTAAAGGTGCCTCTCTAGACTGTGTAGTTCAATAAATCTGGGATTTAATTGGTTGCATGAATCTAATGAAAGGAAGACAGATTAAAATTCACAAAATGGATTGTGGAAGAGCAAAGGGTATGGTTACTGAGAATATTAACTTTCTATCTCAGAAAACAGTTCATCAACTCTTCAGTGTATTTCTCATCCAAGTACAGGGACCTCACTTAACATAATATAGAAATATGTATGTTGTATCATATAAGATCCTAAGGTAGCTCTCTTAGGTACTATGGTAAAAATATTTTGCTCTTTTATTAACTTTTCAGTAGTATTAGTATGGTAAAATGCCAAAAGTGTTTTCAGAAACTATTAATTTTCCTGGAGTCATCTCTGCCTATTTAGAAAGCAGTATAAGAGACAGGAGGACCTTAGAGTTTCAGCTGATACTCCATGGTACCATATAGAATTGAGGCAGGAAATTAGATGCAAGACCTCTGACTCCTTAGGAGCATGGAAAGGATAAATAGGTCATAAATCACAAAGGAATGACAACAGAACAAGTGAGCAAAACTGATCCAGATCAGATTGCTTGAGCAAGAATAGAACAGTGTCAACAGAAATGATTAGTAAATAAACATATAGAAATTGAAACTAATTGCATTAATCATTGTATTAATACCAACTATGCATACACAATTGCAACCATATGTATCTTAGATGAAAAATGTGTCTCTAGAAATGAGGTCACCTGCATCTAGTCTATTGAAGCTCCTTGAGAACTGCTTTTTAAGCTTGATGCATTTCAGCAATAACCAGGTTGAGTCCACACACATAATTAATACTGATTCCCTCTCTAATCTCTCAAGCATTTGCACTTATTTCTTGGTCAGATTTCTGTAACATTGTGTTCATGTGGGAAATATCTTCAACTAGATCACAATTTGGGGCTGAAGTGATAGCACAGTGGGTAGGACATTTGCCTTGCACATGGCTGACCCAGGTTAGATTCCCAGCATCCTATATGGTTCCCTGAGCACTGCCAGGAGTATTTCCTGATTGCATGAGCCAGCAGTAACCACAGTGCATCGCAGGGTGTGACCAAAAAGCAAAAATAAAAATACAAATTGCTTCCAAATCAACCTTTGGCTAGATTTCCTACTAAGGTTCATAGAAACTCTGGAAACAGGATATTAGGACAAAGAGGTGAGAAGCACTAATTAACACAGGCTTGAAAATTGTCATATGTTATCTACAGTGCTCCATGTATAGAAGTTCATATCATATAAGATAATCTATTGTCTCTTGGTGCCTATGTTTTACTCAATACTATGTCATAGCTCTCCAAGGAGGTCAAAATCAGATACAATTCAGGTGGGAGAGTTAAGCTACATTAAAAGGATGGAAAACTTACAAAAACATTCATGAGTATCTTCAAGTTATACTTAATCCCAAAATCTTTATTAATTTGAATAATCTTTGGAGTGAACTTTAATTTTTGGCAATATATGGGAAAATCATTACAATTTTATAAAGAATGAAAAGAATGATATTTTGAATAGAAAGGTCATCAAGAGTTCCACTTTTTAGCTTTATCCATTCACATATTTTATTAATTTATTTTTTCTTAAAGTTTTTGCAATTTTTCCATTCTTTTAATGTACTTAACTCTTCCACCTTAATTTTATCTGATGTTTCATTTTGACCTCCAGGGAGAGCTATGACATACTATTGAAAATTTACATAGCATGAAAAGTATTCTGTTTTATTTATATATATATACACACACACATATAGATGCATATTTATGTTATATTCTTTTGTGTGCAACTGATTTATCTTAGAATAATGTACTTTGTAATACACCAACAGTTTATTACATGTTAATAGTTGGGTAAAAATTATATGATATATAACAATATATTTATTCATCAAGTTGTTAGATACTTTATCTCTTGCCTTTTATGGATAATTTTGTGATGAATATTTTATCCAAATATTTTTGTGAATATACGATTTCATTTTACTTGGAAAATACTTAATAATGAAGTTATGAATCAGCGTGTAAAATCCAGCCCCATTTGAATGGTGGAAACTATTTAACTCGATGGTTTTTACTTTAGCAGTTGCCGCCAGCTCATTCCCAACAAGAACACCCAGATAAGCCACACTGGGTTTTGAAATTTGTCACTGAGCACAGTGATGGAGAATTCTTAGAGGTGAAAAAGGATACAGAACGTGCTGATGAGATCCGAGCCATGAAACAAGCCTGGGAGATGACTGAGCCTGGAAGAGCAATCAAGGTCACTATAGTTTGAAAAGTGGTTCTTTAACCTTTCATCTTTAAGCATGATCTGAAATAAGAACCAGGCGGTAAAACTGCTTGATCTTTCCTCTAGGACTGTTCTCTGAAATTTTGTCAAACATTCAGTAACTAAAGTAAAGACCACATTTGGACTCACATTGAAATGTTTCTGCCCTGATACCCAGATAATTTGTACAAAGCAAAACACATCATGTTAAAACTTCTAGACCCAAACTGTGTCAAGACCCATCCTTGCACATAGTCTGGATTCATTTCCACATCTCTCTTTGCATTCCCAAGTGAGAAAAATTAAGAATTTAATATATACTTTTATGTGTTTTGTGTAGCCACAGATAGATTTGAAAAATTGTGCTGCCTCTTGTGAAATATACAGAACTCACCCCCATCTCCTTTCAATGTTAAACATAATAGTAATTGTTATCTCCAAGGAAGGGGTGCATATCTCTATCTTAGAAATTTGTCAGTATCTCAGCTTGAAATATAGACTTCCCTTATCCCCTGGTTCTTCTCTTATGGTTTTCTAGTAAAACTATTTTACCTTATCAAAAAAGAGAAGAAACTTTATCATCATGAATTAGAACCATTTCTATCTGATTCATTTCCTAAAGGGGACAATTCATAAGCAGCTTCAGGATTGCTTCTTCATTGGTCCTCAAAAATAATGATCAAAATCATAGATAGTTTTCCAAGAAAGTTAGTCTGGTCAAAAATGCCCATTTGAGGCTGAGATTAGTACCAGAATTTTGCTCCATGACTTGGAGGCCAGCCACACGTGCTAGGGGAAAAGGAAGCTCAGATAGAGAAGAGAGCACCAAATAAAGGGTGTTGTGAGGAACCTCCCAGGGTGGGAGAAGCATGCTGAAAGTAGTCTATAGACCAAACATGATTGCCACTCAATGCCTCTCTTGCAAAACACAGTACCCAAAAGAAGAGAGAGAGAACAAGGAGGAATGCCCTGCCACAGAGGCAGGGTGGGACAGGGGCAGATGGGAGGTGGGAGGGATGCTAGGACCCGTGGTGGTGGAGGATGGGCACTGGTGGAGGGATGGGTACTTGATCATTGTATAACTGAAACTCAAGCACAAGAATTTATAAGTCTATAACTGTACCTCATGGTGTTTCCCTAATAAAAAAAAAGAAAATACACAAAAAAAAGAGTAGATGCTCTAAAAAAAATGCCCATTTGACAGTCTAGTCAAAATCTCTGTTCATTCACATGTTCACTGCTTTGTTTTGAGTAATATGAATATGCTCTTTCCTGTTGATAATGTTTGTATTTTAGGCAAGTCAGGCTCGTCTGCGTTATCTGAACCAGTTAATTAGGAAAGTGCCTGATTATGACACTTCAGCTGAAAAACAAAAAAAATCATTGGATGAAGGTCAGTCAACCCTTCCAGTTGCCTCAGAATACAGGGTTGTTATTTGCATCTCTTAAGAGTTAGTCTATGTCCTTTGTTTGGTGCTCCCTTCTCTATCTGATCTCCATTTTCCCCTAGCATGTGTGGCTGGCCTCCAAGCCATGGAGCAAAATTCCTGGTACTAATCTCAGCCACTCTTTGGTGTTAGTCTCCTATTTTGTTACTTTATGTTCCCTCTCTTTCTGACTCATTTCACTTAACATGATACTTTCCATGTAGTACCACTTGTATGTAAATTTCATGACTTCATCTTTTCTGGGCTGGAGCGACAGCACAGCGGTAGGGCGTTTGCCTTGCATGCAGCCAACATGGCCGCCCCGAGTTCGATTCCTCCGCCCCTCTCGGAGAGCCCGGCAAGCTACCGAGAGTATCTCGCCCACACGGCAGAGCCTGGCAAGCTACCCATGATGTATTCGATATGCCAAACACAGCAACAACAAAGTCTCCAATGGATACGTTACTGGGCCCGCTCCAGCAAATCGATGAACAACGGAGGACAGTGATCACAGTGATCACATCTTTTCTAACAGCTACATAGTACTCCATTGTGTAAATGTACCAAAGTTCCTTTAACCAGTCAAATGTTCTCGGGTACTCAGGTTTTTTCCAGATTCTGGCTATTGTAAAGCCACAAAACCCAAAAGGAGAGAAAGAACAGAGGGGAATGCCTTGCCAAAGAGGCAGGGTGAGATAAGGGGGAGGGTTACTGGGATCCATGGTGGTGGGAAATGGGCACTGGTGGAGGGATGGATATTTGATCATTGCATAATTGAAACCCAAGCACAAAATTTGTAAGTCTACAACTGTACCTCATGGTGTCTCACTAATAAAAAAAAGTTAGTTTATGAATAAGCTTGGTAAAAAGAAAATCTTTCCAAGCCTGTTTTCTATTGGATTGTAAAAAGTCAATGTACAGTCCTTTAAGAAAACTGATTATGATATTCTTTCCTTTACGTGAACAAGTTTTCTTTATTTTTCCTCAAGTAGATGCCATTTCCTTATTTAAAAAAATGATGAACAGGGGCTGAAGCAATAGGACAGCAGGTAGGGTGCTTGCTTTGCACACGACTGAACAGGATACTCAGCACCACAGATGATCCCCTGAGCACTCCCAAAAGCACTTATTGATCCCTGAGCACAGATCCAGGAGTAAGCAATACCTGAGCACTACTAGATGTGCCCCCCAAAATAAAATAGAGATAGATAGATAGAGAGAGAGAGAGAATAAAAGAAAAGATGAGCCAGATATTATATCAGGAGCTATCTAATTAAAAGGCAATCGTGTGCAAACTTGACATCACTTTTTAATAACAATAATAGTACTATACATTTGGCATTGTTATAATATTAATAAATAGTACAAATAAGAATCATAGTAATAAAATGAACTACTGCTATAAAGTTATTATCTAGACCTGTAATTGTGTAGTAGAAGCTCTAACTTCACATAATACACACATCAACCCACTAGCACATAATAATATTTCCAATTTACCAATAAAGACACTGGCCCAGAATAATTTGTTCTGTAATTTGCTAAGCTTACAAACTAACCAAAGACAATTTTCAGACAGCTCTCCAGAGGACTAGTTAATGACTTCTCATCATCAGTTGACTTTATGTGCTGATTACTGGACTTTAATCCTTTATGAAGGATAGAGACAGTCACATCTTAAAACTCATCTTTCCACTTTTACATCAAGAGTTTAATTCACTAAGAATTTTAGAAACAATATCCCTTAACTTTTCCTATGAAGAATATATGTAACAAATACTCCTGTAATATGGTTATCCTCAAATGGCACTCTTATTTTTTTATTAGTGAAACACCATTAGGTACAGTTTTAGACTTATAAACTTTTATGCTTGGATTTCAATGATCGAGTACCCATCCCTCCACTAGTGCCCATTCTCTACCACCAGTGATTCCGGTAGCCCTCCCACCCCCCAACCAATTCCCCCATTCCACCCTGCCTCTGTGGCAGGGCATTCCATTTTGCTCACTCCTTCCTTTAGGGTGTTGTAGTTTGCAATAGAGGTACTGAGTGGCCATAACATTCGGTTTGTTGTCTAGTTTGAACACGCATCTCACATCCCGAGCGAGTCCTCCAAACATGCTTTACTTGGTATTCCCTTCTCTATCTGAGCTGCCTTTTCCCCCAGCTTGTGATGCCAGCTTCCAAGTCCTGTAGCAGACCTCTTGGTACTTATCTCAACTATTCTTGGGTGTTTGACTCCCATTCTGTTACTTTATATTCCCCAGATGAGTGCAGTCTTTGTTGTCTGTACCTCATTTCACTTAGCATGATATTTTCTGTGTAGAACCACTTGTGTATAAATTTCATAACTTCATCTTTTCTAACAGCTGCATAGTATTCCATTGTGTAGATGTACCAAAGTTTCTTTAACTTGTCATCTGTTCTCGGGCATTCGGGTTTTTTCCCAAATTCCTACTATTGTGAACAAAGTTGGCAAAACCCTCCACGACATTGAAGCTAACAGTATCTTCAAAGAATGACATACCACTGAGAAAGCAAGAGAAAACAGAGATAGACAAATGCGACTATCTTAAACTAATAAGCTTCTGCACTTCAAAAGAAACAGTGACCAAAATACAAAGACAGTATACAGAATGGGAAAGTATATTCTCCCAATACCCATCTGACAAGGAATTGATATCAAGGATATGCAAAGCACTGGTTGAACTCCACAAGAAGAAAACATCCAACTCCATCAAAAAATGGAGTGATTAAATGAACAGAAGCTTTCTCAAAGAAGATATCCAAATGTAAAAAAGGCACATGAGAAAATGCTCTACATCACTAATCATCAGGGAGACGCAGATCAAAACAACAATGAGTTATCATCATCACCACAGAGACTGGCCCACATACAAAAGAATAAAAGCAACCGGTGTTAGCATGGAGGTGGTGAAAAAGGGACTCTCCTTCACTGCTGGTGGGAATGCCGACTGGTTCAGCCCTCTTGGAAAACAGTATAGACGATTCTCAAAAAATTAGAAATTGATCTCCCATTTGACCCAGCAATACTACTCCTGGGAATATATCCCAGAGAGGCAAAAAGAAAAAAAACAGTCAAAATAACATCTGCACTTCAATGTTCATTGCTGCACGGTTCATAATAGTCTAAATTTCGAAAAAAACAAAAAACCGAGTGCCCAAGAACAGGTAACTGGTTAAAGAAACTTTGGTACATAAACACAATGGAGTACTATGTAGCTGTTAGAAAAGCTGAAGTCATGAAATTTACATGTAAGTGGTTCTACATGGAAAATATCATGCTAAGTGAAATGAGCCAGAAAGAGAGGGACAGATATAGAAAGATTGCACTCATATGGGGAATATAAAGTAACAGTGGAATTCGAACACCCAAGAATAGTTGAGATAAGTACCAGGAGGTCTTCACATGGTGGGGTAAAAGGCAAATGGCACTCTTTTAAAGTGCCCGAAGTTGATTATCTTACTTTAACCTATGCAACTATGAGACACACATTGCCCTTTCTAATAAATTTATAAAGTGACCAAATCTCGAAGATACACTTTGTTTTTCCTAAGTCATGTATCTATAGAGCAATTAAGTGGGAATATGAGTGATTTCTAGCCACTAACATACTTAGATAGTGACAGTCTAATATAACATTGAAAACTCAGTTTTGTCAAAACATAGACTAGCTTTTATTGTAATGTTTTTAGTGTTGTATGAAGTAATAGGCAAGAAAGTGAATTATTTCATTTGACAGTTGCTAAAAGTGGCAAGGAAGTTTTATTCAAAACTTGAAGCAGGCGAGGATGGACTTAATTCAGTACAGCAGGGGCAGATTGGGGCGTTTTTGGCCAGTAGAAAGGGAGAAGTAGTTGGATAATTACTTAAAAGAACTCTATTAGCTATCAGAGGTCATGGCAGAGAAGTTTGATTGCATATCAAGGAGTGGAATGAGGAATAGAAGCATAATTGGATATCAAAGATAGCAACTAAGAAGCAGGAGGCTTTTTAATAAGGTAGTTCAGCAGGATTCTTTGAAAATACTGCTAATATATTTCCAGGCCATGGAGAACAGCTAGTGGAGAACAGGGATTTAAAGGACCAAGACTATTTCCTATTTGTGCAATGAAGGCACAAATCTTAATTGTAGCATTTAGTCAATCCCCACATATATAATAGTCACATAATAATCACCATCAGAAAAAGTTATCAATGACTAATTCTAAAACTTCATTTCCCTTCCCGGTCATTTCTTCTCCTGAGGTAACTACTAGTCTGGCTTCTGATCCTTCATTAATTTTGACTTTTATTGAACTCTATAAATTTTAACTAAAAACATTTGCTTTACATACTTTTCTATTTCTTTTTCTATCAGAATTAGCATGTGTTGCTAGCAAGAATTCATCTCGTTTATCTAAAATAAAGTTTCCTGGAAGATATTTCCCCTTAACTATCTTTATGTCTTCTACCGATCTTTCTCCAAGAGTGAACCAGTTTTACTCTTTGAAAAACACATCTTTGACCACTGAATGACTGCCCTTTTATTTTGATACTCTCCAGTTCTTTTTAAGAACTAATCTATTGCCACCTTTTTTTCACAGCTGTCAATCATAGGCGATTGATAAGTAAGATGGGGAAAGTCTGCATGACATGCATATTGTAGTTGATGTAGCAGTTTTCACAGGCATTTGGATCTGAAGAGAGGGGGTAGAATTAACAGCAAAGGGAAAGGAACACCGTCTGGGGTGGAAATTCATGAGCAAGAGCCCTTTTCAAATTTATTTTAAGGAGAGTTTAGATATGCTTCCACCCACAGGACTTTCTCCAAAGAATTCCATCCAAGTCCTCACAAAGGACAAGTAAGTGCATTTTCTGCCTTCTCCCGAATCCATCCTAACAGCACTCCCAAAGGTTCTGAGATCCCATTACTCAGAACCCTTGAGTAATTCTTAGTCCCT